TACTGTTTTACAATGATAGTTTATTTACAGTTATATACATATTTTTGTATACGTCGTAAAGGATGTAATGTGAATAATTAGGTATAAAACGAAATTAGCCGTAGGCAGGGGTGGGAGCAGGCTGGTAGGACCTGGAAGGCTCCTGAGCTGGGTATTGGGCTTCTCCTTGGTAAGAAACCTCAGCTACGTAGCCAGAGTCGCCGTTCACGGTGTAGGTCACCGTCTGCAGACGACCGTCGGGAAGCTGGACGTAGTAGGTACCCTGAGTGTCGTATCCGTTTCGGCTTTCTTGGTGACCGAAGTCGTTTCCGGAGTAGTCGTCCTTGACAGCGTAGTTAAAGTCGTACTGGGCAGGTCCCTAATTTAAGAAAGAACAAAAAAAAATAATTAACAAAACAAGAAAATGATAAGTAACAGACAAAAAATAACCTGAAAAAAAATCTTAGTTTTTCCATTTAAGATTTTTCACCTTATTCAAGCCATTAACATCTTACCGAAGGAGCGGGTGCAGGGGCATTGTAGGTAGGAGCAGGAGGATTGTACGAAGGAGTAGGAGGACTGTATCTCGGGCCAGAGTCAGCAAGAGCACCTGCCATTAAGGCAACGAATACAGCAACCTGTAAAAGAACGAAATAACGTATCTTGTATTACAGAGATGGCGACCGAAAAATATCCTGCAAACACAAACTTCTTACAGGAACCCACCACAAGAGACATTGTGTATGTCTTGGAAGTAGAGAGGGAATGGTACCGACCAGGCGTTACTTGCGGCTTATATACTCGAAGATCCGCCCACAGATCCTTGCGTAACGTCACTGGAAAGGAAGAAGAAATGGTCACTTAAAGTAAGTTGACTGAATTTGTAAAAAAAAAAAAACAATTAATGTATAGTAAGTGCTCTCGTCCTTGATCTTATTTTTTTTTTTTCGCGTTTCCTTCCCTTCCGCCTTGTGTGTATGAGTTGTACAGTCTTTTCTGATTTGTACTTATCAATATTCATATCAATCTCCTTTTTATGTCAACACGCAAACACATTTACACACACACACACACACATAATAAGTGTGTGTGTGTGCGTATGTGTTTTTATATATTCATAAATATGTATATCATATATAAATACAAATATATACAGTATGAGAGAAGAATAGTGTTTATGCGGTGCCCTTAATTTTGTAAATGAACAGAATAGTGAATAAAACATAGGTTGTTTTTTAAAAATGTAAGGACGTTGATTAATTGAAAATTTCCCAAATGAAAAGGCGTAAAATGAATGAGAGTTCCCTAAATGAACGTAAGGAAACACCTAGAATTAAGCATAGGAGAGGATAAAGCTATGAAGTCAAAAGAAAAGAAAAATAACACTGGAAAAAATAAAATAATAATAAACCCGCAGCACTAAAAGCCAAACATACGCTAAACTAATAAAATAACGTTGATAATGATGTAATGATTATAGTATAGTAATAAGATACTTATAATCATATGAAGATAAATATGAAACTGCATGTGGAAACATTACATTACTTCATGAAATTATACGTCGGATACCAAAAAAGACTACTACGAAAAAATACATCCCCTAATCTCCAATATCTAATATGTGTATGTGCATATATACATATACTATATATATATAATATATATATATATATATATATATATATATATATAGCTGTGTATGTGTGTCAATTAGTGTACCGTACATACCATTATACAAGTCGATCCTGCACTGAAGTGGCCCTGATGCGTAATTTAGGTCCAAGACTATATTAGCCGGATAAGACGACCCCAAAAAAACACACACACACGCATCTATATATGTGTGTGTGTGTGCGTGTGTGTTTGTGTATTTATGTTGTATAAAGCAGATCTTCTTCCTAGTCTCATTGTATAAAAAAAAGAAAAGAGAAAAATCACATAAAGACGTCGCAAGTAAGTTTTTTACACAGACTAAACCAGCCTAACCTAAACTTAACTAACCTATTCTACCCACTGAGTTATGTCCTTGATATCATTATAATCTACAGTAATAGACTTACCAGCATGAGCTTCAGTAGGAAATGATTGTGGTAAGCTGCATTTGTGATGTATAAAGTTGGACATATAACTTTGTTATATGTGGTTCTCTCTCTCTTTTTATATATATATATTATATATATATATATATATATATATATATATATATATATATATATATATATATATATATATATTATATATATATATATATATATGTGTGTGTGTGTGTGTGTGTGTGTGTGTGGTGTGTGGTGTGTGTGTGTGTGTGTGTGTGTGTGTGTGTGTATTGTGTGTGTAATATATATTTATGCATTCATGTATAAATTGATATGCGTACACACACACACACACACACACACACACACACACACACACACACACACACATATATATATATATATATATATATATATATATATATATATATATATATATATATATATATATATATATATATATATATATATATATATATATATATATATATATATATATATATATATATATATATATATATATATATATATATATATATATTATATATATATATATATATATATATATATATATATATATATATATATATATATATATATTATATATATATATATATATATATATATATATATATATATATATATATATATTATATATATATATATATATATATATATATATATATATATATATATATATATATATATATATATATATATATATATATATATATATATATATATATATATATATATATATATATATATATATATATATATATATATATATATATATATATATATATATATATATATATATATATATATATATGTATGTATATGTATGTATTGATTATACATATATATACATACGTATGTGCATGTAAATATTCATATATGTGCATATATTTAGATAGATATATGTCTGTATGTGTATTTACATGTGTATATGTATTATATACATGTCTTTGTTTTAGATAGCTGTTAACGCTAATAAACAAAATATTTTCATCTTATCACTATTGTTATCGTTACCAGAAAACGAGATAATGAATACTTATTATTTCTTCTTTTGTATATTATTATATTCTTAAGTAGCACTTCATTGAATTCCTTGTTCTTTAATAGTTGAGCTAATTGCTGCGGTTCTTGATACTTGTTTTTTTCTTGTTTCATTTTTATGGTAACAAGATTCTGATTACCATCTTAACTCATTGATGAAGCTTCAGGGAGGCTTTTTTAAATACCCTTTACTTTACTAACCCACATTTTATTTACAATTATATTCACATATTTCGTTCCACCTTTAGAAAACCTATGATATTAGTATAAAAGATTAGCCGTAGGCAGGGGTGGGAGCAGGTTGGTAGGATGGGGAGGGGGCAGGCTGGTAGGATGGAGCAGGAGCAGGTTGGTAGGACCTGGAAGGCTCCTGGGCTGGGTATTGGGCTTCTCCTTGGTAAGAAACCTCAGCTACGTAGCCAGAGTCGCCGTTCACGGTGTAGGTCACCGTCTGCAGACGACCGTCGGGAAGCTGGACGTAGTAGGTACCCTGAGTGTCGTATCCGTTTCGGCTTTCTTGGTGACCGAAGTCGTTTCCGGAGTAGTCGTCCTTCACAGCATAGTTGAAGTCGTACTGGGCAGGTCCCTGTTTAGGGAACAAAATGAAGGAAACGGTTATACAAATAAAATTTATAGCGTTCTAACTTTGTCATTAGAGAACTAAGGCTTGCACACAAATTGTGTAACATCTTACCGCAGGGGCGGGTGCAGGGGCGTTGTAGGTAGGAGCAGGAGGATTGTACGAAGGAGCAGGAGGATTGTACGAAGGAGTAGGAGGACTGTATCTCGGGCCAGAGTCAGCAAGAGCACCGGCCACTAAGGCAACGAATACAGCAACCTGTAAATGAACGAAATGAGGACATTTAATACCTATTTATGAAAAGAAAAAATATATGCACAAGAATCCACATGTAGTACTTACCTTGAAAGCCATCTTTTACTCTTTTGGCAATACAATCATCTGAGAAAACTCGTTATTTCCAAAAGTCATTGTAAAAGACACCTTAGATATGCGTGTGTGGACAACAGACGCTGTGGAGAACTTACTTTGAAAGTCATCTTTTACGCTTTGGGAAGACGAGAGAGAATGGTACCGACCAGAGGTAGCTTACGGCTTATATACGCGAAGGTCCGCCCACATTGCATGGCGTGACGTCACTGGGGAAGAAGAGGAAACGCTTATTTTCGAGGTTAAACAGAATGGAGTCATCAAGTAATGCAGGATCCCATACAGGCTGTTCTCACTTTTTTCTCACTTCTCTACTCGTTTTTTCTTTCTTTCTTTTACCTGTTTTATTTTTCCTTCTCTCAGAATATTTTATTTTTTTTTTTTAGTTTTTTATATATTTATTATATATATATATATATATATATATATATATATATATATATATATATATATATATATATGTGTGTGTGGGTATGTGCGTGGATGTATGTTTAGATAGCTATATACATGTATTCAATAATGAACATACATACCTACATACATATTTTGCGCATACACGCATATGCCAGGCCATAGTGTGTGTGTGTGTTTATATATATATTTTATAAATATAATATTATATATATATACATATATATACTGCATATATACATATATTTTGATATATTATATATATATATATATATATATATATATATATATATATATATTATATATTATATATAGATGTGTGTGTATGCGTTTATATGTCGGTATGTTTTTATTTATGCTTGTATTCATACATACATAAACACATGTATGCATGTACATGAGCAAATGCCTGGTTTACATCCAACTAATTATACCATTCTTACTTCATATTATATATCCAAACATTTCGAGCACTAAATATCAAAATTAAAATTTAAATTTAAATCCGTTGCATGAGAAAATTTTGGAATATATATATATATATATATATATATATATATATATATATATATATATATATATATATATATATATATATATATACAAAACCAGTAAGGGATCCAAAATCATTAATAGTGGCGGTCTGCAAGTACAATTGATACTAATGCAATCTCAATACCTTCAAATGAATTTTGGTCTGTAGCAGAGTATTCTCTGACACAGAAAGGTCAACAGGAATCTGTGTCAAAACCCTTATTCAAATAACGATGCATACAAAACTATCAGAGAAGTATGTAAATGAAGGTAGAATCAATATGTAGTACGGAAACATTAGCACTGATTCAGTAAGGTAATGAGGTTTATTATAGTAATATACCCAAATAATAATAATGATAATAATAATAATAATAATAAATAATAATAATAATAATAATAATAATAATAAATAATAATAATAAATAATAATAAATAATATAATAAATAATAATAATAATAATAATAATAATAATAATAATAATAATGGTGACGAAAAATAAAAAGAATCCTCCCAAATAAAAAGACAAAGGCCTTTCCTGAGTCAGAAGGTGATCATTGTTTACGTTCGCTTCTTAATTAGAGCAGAAAGGCAATGGTTGGCATTCACCTCTACTATTGCACATTACAAATTCAATTTTCATTGCTAATTCGCTAAAAGTCTTTACATTATATGTATATATGTTCACATTCATACATATATGCGTTTACAAACCCATGTGTTTATATACATACATCTGTGTGTGAGTGTTCCTCCACATATACGTAT